TGTCATATATGCTCCGTGTATTTGGCTACGCGCCCGCCGTAGGATTGCCTGAGGGGTGTGCACCCAATTTCCGGATAATGGAGTCATCCGGTATTCCTGGGGATCTCAAGCATGCGCCGTATCACATCGAAAAACTTGCAACTGATATGGCTCGAACTGAATTCGATACTAGTGAGAAGGCTCGCTTTAAATGTGCCAGGTATAACGAGAGGCTGTATGGAGCGCGCCTCGCCGAAGAGCCGTCTAGACCAACGGAACGGCAAAGTCTATCTCCGAGAAAGACGGAGTCTGCTCAGGCCGCAGAACAACCCGGGGAATTTGACTCGTGGACGACGATATCAGGACACGGGGAGATGATCTATCCAGCCGGAGTGCTGTATGAAGAACAATCTAGCTGCTTAGAGCATGAAGATCATAGCTTGTACGAGATGAGGGCAGGTTGGAACAATGGCATCGAGCCTCTGATCCGTCAACTGGAGATAGATAGAAACATAAGAGCCTGGTGAGCTCAGGTGAGTAGAGTCCATCATCCGCGAAGTAAGCTTGAATACTTAATTATGGTGAGAGTGTAGATATAATACACAATAGATAGCAGCTTCTCGCCGGAGCTGAGACGGACTTATTTAGACTTTAGTTCTTACTACTGCCACGCTCGGACTGATACTGGGCTTATTATATGTGTACGTTAGCGTAACTTGGTTCCGTCAGTTGCTTCGTAAGTTGTAGAGTTGAATTATAATAGATATATCCCGGTTGGCTGAGCGGGCCTAGAAAAGATTTATTTAAAAGAAAGATCTTGCTTATACGTCTATGAAACTCGAGGCTTATGTGGACCATACAAAGTTGCAGAGTGAAGAGAAAGAAACCCAGATTCATCGCGAAAACCACCTGAGTCTCGAAATCACTCAATAGGACGTTTTAGTGAGTTCAGACTGTTCAGGTAAACTGCCTATGCATAGTCCTATCGAGTACTCAACAGTAGTTCGGCCTCAACGCAAACAGGTAACAACAGAGGATATGCAGAAGGTTTGGGAGCGCCCATGGTCACGTGACCCGTCCAGAACGCCGCAACGCATGTTTCACCGCCGTTTGGGTCAAAATACCTCGACGGCAGCTTCTCCTGGGGGTATTTTTGGTCGCCGAATCGAATGGTATGGCTGGGACAAGGGAATAACGGTGATTTTTTAATATGATCTTGTTGGGCGGCGGAGCCGCCGGACAGGGGCTATATCACGTGTGTTTCCGTCTGTATATAGTCCATGTATATGCATCCGGTTCTGGGGGATTCCTCCCCCCGACCATGTTCTCCAGTTCATCGTAGTCGCGTGGTCGCGACGCTCTCGACCTCGCGCAACAGATCTCTGTTTTTACCTGTTTGTGCTGATGCCTGCTGCTGTTGAGTACTCGATAGGACTATGCATAGGCAGTTTGCCTGAACAGTCTGAACTCGCTAAAACGTCCTATTGAGTGATTTCGAGACTCAGGTGGTTTTTGCGATGTTCCGCTGCGCCTTGCGTCAGCCATCTCATAAGGCGCACCGACTACTTAAGGCATATCAGCGTGGCGGACTAGATGGGGGTGCTTTCAAAGTCGTGACCGGTGTATTAGCAACGTCTGGTTCATATGACCTAGTTTTCAGTTGCTACCCGAATCTACATTCGCTTCTGTCTTCGATGGTAAAGTCACGTTTGCAGAGAATACTAGATAACGAACACGAGGCACCTACTTCGCCGCACCAATTTACGTATTCTGCTCTGATGGTAACACTGAAATCCTCGTGATTTGGAGCTTTGGATTGATGAATTTATGCGAGAAGAGATTGAGCCGACCTAAAGTCCGACTAGCAATATATGCGCAACCGTGTAATAGGGGTTCAGGGTGAGAAATCTTTGGTGGGTGCTGGCTGCTACGGAGCCTAGTAAACCACTATATAGGATCGCCTCTTGTGATGATTACTAAAAACGGGGTTTAGAGGTATAGGGCGGCTTTTATGGGTCCACGTATGGGATACGACAGCAGTAAAATCTCTTGGCTGAGTCACTCAATACTCGAAGTTTATGTCACCAAAGCTCAAAAACGAAGGCAAACTAAGCAAGCAACGACACAAAATCGAACTAATAACATGTATAACTTACTTTTGTTACCAGGAGCATATCCCAGCTGTAACTATCGTGTTGTAGCAACGGACACAAATTAGCAATACATTTTGTGGGGATTCGGCGAAACCAAACTAATCATGAGCCCTGGTCCAGCACGGTCACCAAGCGCTCGGTCATTTGACCGTAAAAATCCCTTGGTGCTATCCAACCAACGCATGCGATCGCCGCGTATACACATGTTAGTTTCTCGAATTATGCTTTTAGGGCGATGAAACACGCTCTTCAAAGCGTCATTACGATCACCATTTTTAAGGTACCCGATTGGAACGTGTAGGTAATCGTGTAATACCAGTCTCGACAACGGATGCAAGTATTTACTTATTTGCACTGCACCGTGTTTACTGATTGGCCTAATTTATCCTTGTCAGGTGTGGATGATGTTGTACGTAAGGGATAAACTCTAGATGTTCAGAACAAACTCAGCCAAGTCTTCACATTACTTACGCGCAGCATGAACGCGTACGTGTCCAGCGAGCTCCGCCAAATCAAACCTTGCAACAAGAACTAAGGTGACGGATAACTTGAGACTCAAGCAGCCCGAGATCCTGCCTGACTGGGTAAGACGGTTTGCGCTCGAAGTCTTTATAGTTATATGACGATGAAGTTCTCAAGCCTCGCATACACACTTCGGCCTGCTAAGCATCTGATCGAAAACCACATGCAACCCTCCAGACTGAAACCTAGCCACGTTGTATTCAATTCAGCCACTCGTGACTTCATAACCCTGAAGCACAGAGGGGGCCTAGACACGCGGAATTCCCAACTAGGAGGTTCTCAGATCTTATTATGCGCATTTTATGTAGAAACAACGACTACGGGCGTCCGATGCCGAGCAGCTGTTCGATTCATGATGGAAGCATGATGGCAGTATGAGCCTCGGGAGCGCGATTTACACAGACAAAATGCCAGCGAGTAGCGGGTGAAATAGCGAGCTCTGATGAAGACCAAACTTTAGCAGTGCTTGACGCTGCAGCTGACGACGTTTCTTTTCGACTCAAACCGCGCAGAGATCAGCACTATTTACAGAATTCGCTTTAGAGTGCGCCCCGTAATTAAAGCTATCTTCTGAGGTGAGCGAGCAGATTGTCAGGTGCCGCACTGATGGGACGGAACTATGTCCGCGCAGGTTCCGCTTCGAGGGCTGTGCATTATGCCCCATACGTTATAAGTTCTTATCGGTTAATGAATGTTGAGTCGATTGCAACTGAGTTGAAAACAAGCCCAATAGGATGTTCACAATTTTTATCTTATATTCGAAAAACTACGTCTTAACTGTATTAATCGTGCGCATATAATCTCATATACCAACCTATTTTAGATATAATGGTACGTTCTGCATCGTTTCAATACTGGTTTCGAAGACTATACGATTCAAAACAAACTCATTTGCCGTTCTATTTCAACGCTAAGCTGCCAATACCTAGTCTCCTCATGCAATTAGCCACCCTGGGAGGACCCTATCGAGAGCTACCCGGCGGCAAAGTCGTATGGTTTAGGTCCTAGTTATTCTATATTTCAGCCAGCGTCCTTGGGAGCGGCCTGGTCACTAACTTTCGAATTTCAAAATCGCCCTTGAACCCAAACGCCGCGGCGATGCCAAAGCCAATGACCGCAAGAGCAGTAGCTATGTCGTTCCCGGCCTGATCATAGAACCTGATTGTTGCTGTTGGCTGTCCGTTCATCAAAGTGCCAGCAAAGAACCAGAATCGAGAGACGTTCGCTCTGAAACTTTCAAAGCTCCGCCCGTCATGGAGGACCATATCCGCGTCAAAGTTGAGGTACCCGACACCGAGACCAAAAGCGCCGCCTGACCCGAAGTAGTCGCTGCCGTCTACGGACGCTCGGAGTTCGAGAATGGTATATAGGCCGACTGAGAAGATTTTAGCGTGGACTGGGATATGCCTATCATCGGACCAGGCCCCGACGCTCGAGGGCAGAATGCCGGCTTCTACGTTGGATTGAAGCCCTGCTGCGAAGTCGGGTAAGATATGGGCGTCGGCGCCGTTTTTGGTTTCATCCAACCAGTTTTCGAATGCGGCCGAGCCTCCGCTTTGCTCGATCTGCTTCAAGATCTGAAGGGCTCTAATGCGGGTATAAGTGAGCCAAAGTAGATTCAAGTATTAATGGGTATTTACCGCTGCGCAGATTCTTCCCTGTTATCACCAAGGTTAGATAGAGAACCGAGCTCAGGAGTGAAGGCGGCTTCTGTCATAGTGAGCTGAGTATCGAACTGCAAGGGTAATTTCAGACTGGAAGTTTCGAAAGGCGGCCTAGCAGCTAAATACTTGTGGTCCGAGTTCAAGACCTGAAGCCGCCTAGAAGGTGATACTACCACATATAGCCAGTAAAACGGCGCCCAATAGACGGTGCTTGATGTCGCCGAGGAGGATCATGGTGATCAAGGCACCGGGAGCATCTGCCGATCACGGCTACTCGAGCACCGATCAGCGCGTGAGCCTTTACGGGGTAGCTTTAATAAGCTTGGGAGCAATGGTTGGACGCGCATAAACACAGCCTGTGGTTTTGCCCATCTTATTGGACCTGCATACACATTCTTCATTCCGTTCCTAATTCTATTTGGTACTCCTTCTGTTGCTCGTAATGACAAATAATCGCGAGTTTCATTATCAGTGCACTTACAGACAAACTCGCGGCCTTGCTGTAGCAGGTATACCCTGTGTCCTATCATAATGGTATTTCACCTCAGTATACGTATCTAACTAGACTACGCTGGCTGGTTGTATACGCTGTTCTCAACGTTACACAACGTCTCTGAGGCGCGATCGATTAGCCACGAAGGTGATAGGCTATGAGTAAAATAGCCTCAAGGCCAGTACGTAAGCCGTGATAGCTCAGCTGGGAGAGCGATAGACTGAAGTTCCGCGGACCTCCGCGCTCTAATTCACGTGATCTACAGGTCGCTGGTTCAAATCCGGCTCATGGCACGCTTTTTACGGCCCTTATGCAGTCAGAAACTCTGTAAGGCATGTCAGGAGGCTGAAAGGAACGAAAAAGATAAGCATACACCCAGCATTGAGAATTCATCCCCACCTTTCCACTCCAGCGGCCCAGAAGTTCTGTTCTATTGGCCTTATGGTATCCTAATACATTTCTTTCGGTGGGAAGCACTGAAACCATATTCGGTTTCAGCAGGCGGCGACCCGTAACAACGAGGAGGACGGTCACGTGATACCCATCTACTACTTTCGGACTTGATTGCACCTCGCGCGTCGCACTCTGTTTTGGGGAGTAGAGGAACATATTGGGCGAAAGTAACTGAGTCTTATAAACCTGTATGTAGATGTGCTTCAAGGAGACGCCGCCCACCCAATAAGCCAGCCGCTCCACCTATCGTTCTTTATGTAGAACCGCCATGGCCCGGTTGCTCTTCCAGCTTCACCGTTCATTCATTTTTCAAGGTCGTTGAGAATCCGGTGAACTGATGCGGTCGGTGTGGCACTGGAGTTGAGGTCAGGCAGTAGATGGCTGGATCAAGCGCTAAAGTGCTTGCTATACTGGCCGCGATGCTCGCACATCATGCACATCATCTCGCGAACCCGCCTCTAACCCGGTTCTTGGCCGTTGATTTTTTGCGCAGTCGCAGTCATTTCACTCATCATGCGTGTAGAAAGGCTGGTGAAAACACCCGATTCTTCGTGCACAAGACGCTCACTTTACCGTTTTCACTTCAACCATACCACGATTTAACTTATCGTAACTCCTCGGCCTCGTCAACCTGAGATTCCACCGCTAGGAGAGAAGACATTTGGTGACATATATTCCATGGCTTTCATGTGATATCAAAATCCTGTTATATGCGCGCATACATCCGATAATATATCCTGTCTGACAAACCTCCCGATCGTACCCTCAACCTCCCATCCTCCACAGAAAATAAGAACAGATTTACCATACCTTCCGACAATCCCCCTCATAACATCGAGATCCCCCGGTCGGTCTCAGATCGTCAGGCGACGAACCCAGGAACTAGACCCGGGAACCCCTAACCCCGCATTCTGGGCACGTGGAGAGCGAGGTGATCGCAGCGAGCAGCTTTCGGGCCTAGGCAATCACTCTTACTGTAAGCGCGCCCGACGGTATGAGCAGGTTCGAGGCTTTTGAGGAGCGATGGGAGGAGGGGGTGGTGTGGGTGGTGCGCAAGGTCCGAGCCGTATTAGAGTAGAGAAGAAGAACTGTGGTTTGCGTGTGGTGCTTTGGTCACTTGCAGACAATGTGGCTCGCTTGGCTGTGCCCCCTGTGCCCTCGAGTAAGGAATTGCGCTGGTACAGTCAGCAAAACGATGCGTATAGACTTCCCGACGGCTATCTTCGCATGACAGGCGAACGGCTATAACCGCGCATTATATCGTATTAATCAGAATGGGCAGGTTATTTACATTGTGTCGGGCCGTGGCGCCGGGGGAACCGAGGGTTATGGGGACAAACGTCATAGGTATCGAGCGTGGACTATGCGGCATCGTGGTCGACTAGAGGGACATCGTGGCCGTTTAGTTCTGCCCACAGTACGTACCGCATCGTGGTCAACCCACCCGGGCCGTGGTTGTTAGGTCGTATAGTGCATCGTGGTTGTTGGACCATATAACGCATCGTGGTCGTATAGGTTATAGGGGACGTCTATTGTCTAGGCTGGAACAGGAGTCGAATGGCGAGTAGCAAGTCTAACTAGCTGCTTTTCGGTGGTAGATTAGCCCGTGAAAATGCCAATAGCATGGTTGTTTGAGCTAGTACCTAGACTCCCCCGTCCTACTGTCCCCTCGTGTATATCAAAACCGGACTCGAGATATAGGGCTTAGCAGCCTAACTGGACAGCCATGCTAGCAACACACACCGTGAGGTTTAACCCGTGTTTATTATCTATCGTTCAGAAACAGGGCCGGATGTTGTGTTAGCCATCCTAGTAGAGCATCGTGGAAATGGCGCACCAGCGTGAATCCAATCCGTGTCTATGGTCACCCAGGTGGAAAGCTAAGCACCCAGTAGAAACACTCAACAACGAGGGAGAGGCAACACATACCTATAATCCTCTACCCCTCTTTACATGGAAACACCCGTGTTTCCCCGTAACGCCACTACCAACCCCGGTCCACATCGCAAGTTTCATCATAATGCCGACCTCCGGCACGTTTCGGTACTTGTTTGTCGGGAGGAGACGCCATACCAGACCGGTGCGGGAACGACAATGACGAGATCACAGTCGGGTTTGAAGGATTTAATTTCGGCTGGTGAATATCGTATCGTCGGGACAAAAGGGAAAGGGCATCGGTATAGGCCAAACAGGTTCAAGCAAATGATCGCCATTTGAGGTAGATGTGTTTGGATGGATACACGATATTCGATCGGGTTCATATTTCCCCGCATCGCGATGGGTTTGTTGTTGTCAGCAACTTGAATTCGTCGAGTATGCCCTGCGACCTTCAATGGCGGATGCGGGGAAGCCGGAATAGAGTGTAGATTGCGTTCTAGGAACATACTACTACTAACTCGTTTTACGCCCGAGCGAGCAAAGAACCGACCTCGATCGAAGGGGGTACAAGAGATGAGGGGAGGTGGTTAGAGGGTCGATGTTGATAGGATGAATGTACCGGATCGATTTGAGCAAGAGTAGGACTAGGAGGGGATGATAAGGAATGGATGAATGCCGGGTGTGTTGAGGACGAGGTTGCAGATCATCGTTATGACGGTACAATTCGTTGTTGAACAGCATAAAACGTGGTTATCCCCAGATACGTCGAGTAGAGACAGGAGAAGGGGGCTCAAAGATTTGCGGGGTAAGCCCCGGGGATGTTCAATCCAACAAGTGTTCGTCGAGGTCGAGGCGGGAGGCCTCGAGCGATCAAGGCAAGGTAATCAAAATGTTGACCCAGCGCGGTTTCGGTTCGAGCTACGTTCAAAGTTCAACGATGTCATACCAAGTGTTAATTAGACTCGTGTGTATGTTGTGTTCTTATCGCGTCCTGGTAATTGGGTAGGACGAAGTATGACGAACGAGAGGACCAGAATCGAAGCGGGACGGATGGGAGAGGCGAGGCGATCTGCTCGGATCGTGGCCCGAGCTTAGTCCCGGTTTTGAATATTCTTTTTGAGAATTATTTCCGAGGTATTTTGGGGGGAGCGCGTAAAGCGAGGAGGATTTTAATTTCGTTTGGATTTGGAGTTAGTGAAGAGAACGATCGACGCAAATTGTCAAGTGATGCCGATGTGGAGTTGCCGTGGAGTGGAACTGCGCGCTCCAGGAATCAGCCGCTCCAACGTTCGATCCTGTCATTTCGATCGCATAAGACCGAGCGGAACATGATATCCAAATATAGACCGAGACGAGCCCAAAGAGGTCGAAATGAACGGAATGAAAGCGCCAGAGCGTACACAGAGCCCGACGTCCAGCACAAAGAAAAAGTTTGACATCGGTCGATGGCGAGTCAAGGGACCGAGAACGTCCGGAGGGGGATCACGTGTCCCCGTGAAGCCTCGTTGCAGCCTCGTGCCCGCACTCCGCTATTTCATCCGGGCGATATATGGCATATGGCGTCGACACCCCGTCCGTATCGAGCGCGACGCACAACGTAGCAAACTGATCCAGCGAGGCAGTGCTATCGTCATCCGCCAAATCCCCAATTCCAAGGCGGATCTCAACCCAGCGTGAGACGAGGCGAGCCCGGGTAATCTCCAGCAAAAAAAACGTGTTTGCGCGCGATCCGACAGAGGGTCCCCCCCTTCATCTTCAGGCTGCCGCGAGGTTGGGACTTGTTGCCCTCTCCTCCCCTTCATCCCCCAACTGCGTGGCCGCTTTTCGAAGCAGTCAGCTTTACGTTCTTCCCTCGAGCCCTCGCTCAAATCGGAGCCTAGACGAAGCTAGCCCCACCTCCCAGATACAAAACCAACCCAGATCGAGCCCGGCCTTGAGCTGTAACCCCCCCCCCCCCTATCATCCTACCTGCCCTGCCTTCCCACACGCTACCTTGCCGGCGATGGACTACAACATGTGGGCGCGGCAACAACAAGAGGGTGTAGCCCGCACATGGGCTGCCCTCCACCGCGAAGAAGACGAAATCGAGCACGAAGAGGCCGTCGTGGTCATGCTCGGCCAACGCTTGTCGCAACTGCGGGACCGGATCCAGCTCAGCCCGCGCACACACCTCGACGCGCTCCTACACCAGATCGCCAAGGACGAGAACAGGATGCTCCAGTCCATCGACGCCGTCGGCGCTCGCCTGGCCCACGAAAAGGCCGTCTTCCAACGCGAGGTCCAGCGGATCTCGCATTCCAAGGCGAACACCTCTCGCTCGGACCGACATACGCGAGCCGCATGGGACTATGCTGAGCAGATCTGGAGGCACGAGGAGGCGCAGGTCCAGGAGCGGATCGAGCGTGTGTCGGCCATGGGCATGGAGTGTCGTCGTCGTCTTGCGGCCTCTGCCCGTCGTCGCCCCAGCACCGCCGCGGTCGACGCCGAACCCCCTGCTGAAGAACTGCAACGTACCCCGCGCGAACGTCGTCAATCGACCAAGACTCTGCATACATCCCCTCCGACCAAGATTTCATCCCACGTCTCATCACCCCCCACCACAGCCGACCGATTCATCCGTGAACGTCGTCCGTCCAACGTCGTGCCCTCGTCGGCTCCCGCCCCTGCCGCACCCATCTCCTCGCGCGAGTTTGTCCGCGAACGACGTCCCTCCGCCGCAGTCCCGACCAGCCGCCCTGTTACCGCTGCCGCCAACGTCCGACCCGCTACTGCTGCCGCACGACCGTACCAGCCCGCCGAGGAGAAGGATATCAGTCGACCGCGCGAGAGGGAGAGGGAGAGGGATCGAGACCGGGACCGAGACCGTGAGAGGGACCGTGAGAGGGAACCGCGCGATCGAGAGCGCGAGCGTGCAGACCGAGAACCACGAGACCGGGACCGTGATCGTGCAGAACGGGACCGC